CTTAATAAATATTTAGATGAGCAGGAATGTACAAGAGAAGAATGTACTGCCTTTCTAGCAGTTCCTTTTAGTTTTAAGTAGTGCTGTCAAACGATTAATCGCATCCAAAATAAAAGTTTTTGTTTACATAATATATGTGTGTGTACTGTGTATATTTATTGTGTATATATAAATACAAACACATGCAGTAGATATTTTGAAAATATTTACATGTATATATTTATATTATTATATATAAATATATTGAACATATATACATAACATATTTTTCTTAAATATATACATGCATGTGTTTGAATATATATAGATAATAAATATACACATTATACACACACATATTATGTAAACAAAAACTTTTATTTTGGATGTGATTAATCGTTTGACAGCACTAGTTTTAAATAGATTACTTTTCCTTCATTTAGAGAAAATAGTATTGAATTTTAATATCAGGGATTTACCAGTTATTGGGCATAATGAAAAAATAATTACCAGTAACGGCCAGAATTTTAATATTTGTGCATCCCTATTGTTGTTATGATAAGCCAGTACCTGCCTGTAAATTACATGCCTGATATATTAAATGTCTACTATTTTTCTTATGTTTAAACAATAATTCCACTTGAAGCGAAATCGCATGTATAAAAAACATTTTAATATACAGTAGAAAAGATTGGTAACTTTAGTACTGTTTAGTAAATTACTATTTGAATCGGAATAAATAATGTCTAATATTTTCTGCTTCCAATATCCGTGTTTCTGGCAGAAGTGATGTTAAATGTAAACAATGTGTTTCTGTTAGATGTTCTCCAGCAAAGGACTATTTTAAAGAGCTCTCAGGACATTGGAGTTGGGCAGTGCAGTGGCTCCAGAAGAAGGCAAGAGACCACAGATACACACACACACACACACACACACACCCCAGTACTTCTTTATTGTGAAATAGCATCCATTGTTGAATTCCCCTTCTCTCTTTCAGATGTCTGAGCACTACTGGACACCTCAGAGCAATGTATCGAACGAGACGTCCACGGCTAAAACCTTCCAGCGCACCATCTCAGCACAGGTACTGCACTCACAATTCTTTACATTATACATAACCAGAATAAAGTGATTATGTATTTGTCAAACTTGAAATTTCAACTTTACAATTTCAATTTAAATTTTTTCTTCTGTTTTGATGTCATGTAATATGTTTGAAATGCTGGGACTCCATTGGGCACATTTACACTTTAAGTTTTTCATCTGATATTTATATTTTACTATATTTCAGCTTAATTTCACTTACTAAACACCAGTTTTAGTTAACAACACTTCTGGGGAAAACTTCATTTTGAATCCAAAAAATAATTTGTGAAAATCTTGGGAGTAAAAATTCCTATTTTTCTCTCTCTTTCTTCCTTTCCCTTTCCCTCACTTTTGTATATCCTTCATGTTTTGCTTTCCTTTGAGATGAAAAAAAAAAACAATGCAATGCAAATTTAAGCAAATTTCAAAGTTTAAGCTAAATACAAAGTTACATTTCTGCTAATTACAATGATTTTAAGCTTTGTCTTAAAATGTACATCTTTAAATAAATGATTTACCTAGAGCTAGCCACCCATTTTATGAGCCATTAGGAGGACATGTGAACTGCTGAGTGAAGTTTAGTGAATGCTGGTTTTTGTGTTTAGGACACTCTAGCTTATGCCACAGCTTTACTGAACGAGAAGGAGCAGTCCAGCAGCAGTAATGGATCAGATGGAAGCCCAGCCAATGAGAACTCAGACAGAAGCCTCAGACAGGTAGAGCTCTGTCTGTCATTAATTCAGCAGTCCATCATCAGTTACATTATATGATAAAATACACTAGTGTTTAATAAAGAATTACATTTACTCTTTTACCATTTCCACCTCTCTTTCTCTCAGGGATCTGAATCCCCCATGATGTTGGGCGATTCTCGAAGTGACCTAGAAGATGTGGATCCATAACGCTTCTTATTGTTTTTGCGCAACAAAACAACACAAAAAAGTTTCCCTCCGACAGAGAGATGTTGTGGCTCTAAACAGACAATCAGAAAACTGCATTTGATCTTCTAGGGACTGGAAATGGAGGGACCAGTAGCAGCCAAAGGGCCCGTCGGAGAGTTCGCTCTTCAGGCCGAAACGTGAACAGAGGCGAATATCGTTTTTTTTTGTTTTTTTTTCTTTCTTCTGTTGGTTAAAACCTGGCTGGATGAAATTAGAGTTCAGATCTTGCGAGTTATTTCGATGTTTCGTCTGGCTTGATGAGTTCTGTCAGACCAGTGGGACTTAATAAAAACGAAGGCGTTTGTTTCCTTGACGTTTTTACGCCGAACTACTACTATGGTGCCAGACGGGGTGTTTTAAAAGCAGTCAGCGTATATTTGCCAATGTAATTAAGTAGATACTATTCATGAGAAATGTAAAGATGTGTTCCATAAGTGTAATTTCAAATGTAAAATAATATTTTTAAGAATCCTTTACTGATTTTCTTTATTTTTTGTGAATCTGTTTGAGAGGTGCCTCAAATTTATTCGAAAAAAGAAGAACTTGCCAAGTCTCTGAGAGTCAAATAACCACACCGTTTTTTCCTTTTTCTTGCTGGTATTTTTTAAAGCACTTTATATTTGAATTCAGTTTGTGAGAAATTCATCACGTGGAGACAATAGCGGACGTCCCTCGCTGCTCTCTGTCCATCGAGTTTCTTGGATAGGAACAGCATGCAGAAAAAGACACAAGCTGTTTACGCAAGTGCTAGACAGAAATATGATGGTGGACATTGAGGACGGACCTTACGGCGGAAGACACATCGCATCAGCAGATGCGTCCAGAGACACATATGCAACACACAGAGACGCTACTGTCCAACGAGCTTTTCTTCTTCCTGAAAGACAATGAGTGCTACAATCAGCAGAGTTTGTCATTTAAAAACTCTCGTTTCTTTCTGTTCGTCTGTTTTGATGTTGTCTCGTGCTGCTTTGGTATGAAGATCTAGGGACGTGAAGACACTTTCAGGGTTTATTTAGCCAAATTTGTCCTTTTTTTGTTTGTTTACCTGCATCTTTTCCATTTAGTCTGCCTTGCGCAATGCAAATCGGATGACAAGGTGAGGATGGGGCGGGAAGTGGGAGGGGAAAGAGAAAGACGGAGGTTGTTGGAGGGACCGGAAAGTTCTCACAGAGTAGTAAAGTGCCTTTACTCGACTCCTCCCCTACGCCGCTCGCGTCCTCGCCTTGAGACAAACCAGTGGACACGTGCTACACAAATGCCTGAACCCACTCGACATTACGATAACAACACACACACGTATACTCGGATGGCTCGGCCACGCTCATCTCAGAGTGCCATACGAGGACACAGGCGGCGTCTTGTGCGTCACGGTCCCTTGTCTGAGCCGAGCCTGTGATGTCCTGCTTTCAGGGAGTCTGCAGGGTGATTCAGCTGCCGTTTGCTGCTCATTTTGTATTTAGACTAGAACATTTAGCGACATTGCTTCAATGTTTACAGCGGAAGGACCTCAATGCCACCTCACACAAACGTTAGTGCTGCTTTTTACCTCAGTCACCTGCTCTTCGCAACTTTCAGGCGCTTCTGTGCATGTTTGTACGTGTGAGAGACTTTATTGCTGGAAAAGAACTGCATAAACTGGCCGAAACCGCTGAGAGAAGGTGGTTTATAGAATAAATCTTAAACCAGTCTAAGTGGATTTGCTGGTTTATGCTGGTGTCTCAGCCCGGCTAAGTTGTGTTTAGGTGGTTTAGTGTCCAAAAACATTCAATGCCAGCCAACAGACCAGCCTGATCAGGCTGGAAGAGCACCTAAGAGAAGCAAACCAGCTTAGACTGGTATAAGATGACAGAGCCAGCCTGGTTCCTTAGCTGGTTTTAGGGGAGTTTTGGGCACATAAACTCTAGGTTGGTCAGGGTGGGAGACCAGATAAAACCAGCACCCTGTTTTAAACTGGTTTAACATGTTTTTTTCAAAAGGGCCAACCTGGTTTTCTGGTTTTACAGTGGTTTGGGGCACTTACACTTAAGATTGCCCTGACTAGGAGACCAGGTCAAACCAGCACACCATCTTGAGCTGTTTTAACATGTTTTTTTTTCCCCATGGCCAGCCTGGTTTGCTGGTTGTAGAGTGGTTTGGGGTACTTAAATTCAAGATTAGTCAGGCTGGAAGACCTGATAAAACTAGCAGACCATCTTAAACTGGTTCAACAACATGTTTGTTTGTTTTTTTCAACATGGCCAGCCTGGTTTGCTGATATTAGAGTACCTTGAGGCAACTAAACTCAAGATTGATCAGGCCAAAGGCCTGGTAAAACCTGTTAAGGCTGGTTTAAGCAGTCTTTTTCAGTATGGTCTTTGACTTTTTGTCTCTTTCTCTTGGTTTTGGCCTCTAATAGTCAGCAAAACACTGCAGTACTCACAACTGCCTTAATGCTTTGAATCAGTAAATATTTAACTGCTAATTCACTGCAGCAGATGTGGTAAGTGTTTGGGGTGATTAGTTAGGTTTTAGGATGACCGGAGGATTATTTTGAAACGTTTCAAGACTTAAAGGCACGGTTCAGTTACAATAGAGGGCAGAATTCATCAGATCAGTGCCTAAACATAAGGCATCTTTCTTATTTTGCTGAAATATGCACATTTGCAAAGATATCACACTAATTTCAGCTCAACTGCCTGCTTAGGTTTTCACTAAAGGAGCCTTTAAGATATGGTGGGGTTACAGTTTATAACCAGTGCTGTAGTCTTCTTTAAAATATGGTGTACTTAAGAACAGGGTGTGTTAAAACTATCCACAAATTTGATCCTCCTCCCGCCAATCAATCTTTTTTAACCTTTCCTACACCTGTAGATGCTGTACCAACCGCTCGGTAGATCTGTGATGAGACTTGTGTTTTTAAGCTGGGTGTCAGGACAGGGTTAAAGATGCTTGAAGAGTTTTTAATAACTGGTGATTCTTTGATTCATTTCTGCTGCGAGTGTGTAAAGGAATCTGTTAATGCATGTTAAAACCGCATTTTAATTTGTACATCAGAGTTTGACAATGAAAACATTTGATATAAAAAGGAAAAACTGGAACGCACAACTTTTCAGACTGTGATTTTGTATGTGCCAAGTCTGAAGTAGACCATTACATGAAGTCATGAAGTTTTGCAATACAAAAATATACATTTATAAAAAGAATTACACTCTTATACACAGTGCACATGCATAATAGGAGATAATGCGCTTGCCAGAAATAGTGAAAATAGACCTGTTTCAATTCAGAATATGTGCAAACATAAAAATGATAAATGCTGGTCCTGAATAAGTCAAAGTGGTATTATCTATAATATCGGTTACCGAGATTGGAGATTTTTTAATTTAACAGTATTGGTACATATTTAAAATATATTCTGTTAATATAAAAATTAAAAGTGTTAGTCCTAAATACAGTCAAAGTGGTATTATCTATAATATCGGTTACCGATATTGATGATTTTTTTTTTTTATTAAGCAGTATTGCTACATATTTTAAATATATTGACTGATATTCTGTATTTCATTGTACATGCTTATTTCCTCTATTTTTATAGTTAGCTGTCATCTAATGCTCGCTTTACTACTGTTAAATGTAATTTTTAGCAAATCTCAAAATGAATACCCATTTTTCAATGATGCCTGAATTCACTTGTAGATTTTAAAACAATCGATCATCAATTTTAGTGTTTTTTTTTATTATTATTTAAGGAAAATAGTAGAGAATTTTTATAGCCATAACATGAAAATAATTATCGGCATCAGTCTGAATTCTAATATTAATGCGACAATGCATGTATAAATGTGTTTTGCTGTTTAAAGGCCTTTTAAAGTGTTTTAGCGCTCCTTGTAGAGTTTCTAGATTGAATATGGTTATGTCCAGAACTGGTTACAATGCACTTCTCTGTCATGTAATATTGCATAATGACAGAACTGAGCTCACTTATGTAACACCTCCAACTATTATATGTGCTATAGCAGTTATGTCCATGGTTTAGAGAAGTGAGAAACGAAGAACACACATCCCTCAGTGGTCAGATGGCTTGTGGGACAGGCGGTGCCTGCAGCAGGTGGCGATGGCGGCAGCTCCTATATCTCCTCCAGATGTATGAACTACACAGGTGTTTCCCAAAGCAAATGCCCCACGAACAACAGAACCATGTGACAGACCCTGACAGCCTGTCAGTGTCCACGAGTCTTCACATGAAACCTCCACCTGAAAGAAAGATGCAGGTTAAAGTTGCTCAGATACACCAAATCATGATTTGATGAATCCACAGTTGTAAAACAGATTCAGGATTTAAACTGCAACTGTTACAAATGTTAGAAGCCATACATTAGTTTTTGTGTTCATTGTGTCAATGGAAACTTCTTGAGAGTATGTCACCTGCTCGCTGAGACCCGTAGAGTCGTGTTCTTTCAGCCGGCACTCCAGAGAGGATGTGTGGCAGCAGGAGGCGTATGACGTTACATCCCTTTTAGCAGGACATGCCCTGCGGATGCCATGTAGAGGTCGTTCAGAGTCCGATGCATCTCCAGATGAAGAGGAAGAGCTGCATCCTGCAGGGAAAGATGACAGTTGTGTACATAAATATACAACGAAACAAGTTGTCTTGTAGTTTAGCATAGAGAACTCAATTCAAATTAATTTTCATCGGCAGCGACAACAGAAACTTCACTCATTAAGTGAATTGAAGGAACAGTTCATCCAAAAATGAACATTTACTCACCCTCAGGCCATCTGAGATCTAGATGAGTTTGTTTCTTCCAATTGAAGAAATGTAGCATTACATCACTTGCTCACCAGTGGATCCTCTGCAGTGAATGGGTGCCGTCAGAATGAGAGTCCAAACAGCTGATAAAAACATCACAATAATCCACAAGTCTATCAATTAGCGTCTTGTGAAGCCGCGTGTTTGTAAGAAACAAATCTGTCATCAAGATGTTTTTAACTCTATTAGTAATAATGCTTTCTCCAGTGAAAGTCATTTCATTTGAATCAGGAGAGAAATATGTAGTTAAAACAGATTGACTTATTCACTGAAGGAAGCATTATTATTATACATTATGGACTTGTATTTTGGCCAGGCAAGTTAAAATGCCTCATTTTGATAGATTTGTTTCTTACAAACACACAGCTTTTTTCTTCATAAGATGTTCATTGATGGACTGGAGTAGTGTGGATTATTGTGATGTTTTTATCAGCTGATTGGACTCTCATTCTGACGGCACCCATTCACTGCAGAGGATCCATTTTGTGAGCAAGTGATGTAATGCTAAATTTCTCCAAATCTGTTCCGATGAAGAAACAAACTCATCTTGGATGGCCTGAGGGTTGAGTAAATTTTCATTTTTGTATGAACCATTTCAAAACAAAAGCTCAATAAAAAGTTCAAAATAATAAAAAAAAAAAGGTATTAAAATGTTCAAATAAAATGTTATTTTATTAATATTCATTTTATGAACCATATTTTTTATTATTAATGAAAATTTTTATTAAAAAAAACTTTATGGACATTTTCATATTATTGTCTGGTAATTGACCAAAACCCAACAGACTTTTAACTTCCCCTGAACCCAGAACATTCCATCAATTAATGATATTTTTTTTTTTTTAGTTTTTTTGAAGTTTATGAAAAACGCTGCAGTGTGAAACCATCTGTCACCTGTCAGCTGGTGGTCTGGAGGACATTCTGCATCCGCGCCTCTCTGGGGACTCTCTAACATCTGGCACTGAGCTTTATGGCCTGTGCAGCAGCGCGCTACAGCGAACACACCTTGCCCTCCATTCCCACTGACAGCAACACACTCTTTCTGCCCATCTCTCTCCTGTCAGAAAGGAAATTACTTTGGTGAGCAAAAATTATTTTAACTTAACTTTTTTATTTTTGAGCAATCTAAACAAACATTCTTTGCTAATCACCTCCACTCTTTCTCCAGCTCTTGCTCCGTTTTGTGAGAAACTGGAGCAGCTCAGCATCTCTTCACTGTGACGACAGCGGGCTGTAGCTGTGGCCAAACCTTTAGCAGCTGACCGCTCAGACCAAACGGATCTACAGAGTAAATCCTCTCCTGTAAGAGAACACACATGTAGCGGAATTAAATGACCTTAATGGTTGCCAATATGTTTTGGACATGGTTAGTACTGTTTAAAATCTGCCTGCAAAAATAACTAAACCAGCTTGGGCGTAAGTAAATACATGTATTTACATGTATTTATGTGTATATATTTAAATTCATATAATATATAAATATATTAAATCTATAAACGTAACATTTTTTTTTTTCAAATATATCCATGCATGTGTTTGTTTTTATATATACAAAATAAATATACACAGTACAAACACACATATTATGTAAACAAAAACTTTTATTTTGGATGCGATTAATCATTTGACAGCACTAGTTTATAGTCATTTTGATCATTTGTTTCCTTGTGGAATAAAAGCACTAATTTCTTAAAGAATTAAAAAAAAACTTTTGAACAGAAGTATATATTTATAGTGTGAATAACAGTAATAGTGTGAATTATATACAGTATCTCACAGAAGTGAGTACACCCCTCACATTGGAAAGCTTATTTATTCAGCTTTCAGATGATGTATAAATCTCAAATTGACCCTTATGACTGGTTTTTTGGTCACATATATACTTTTTTTTTTTTTTAACTAATAACATTTTTATTCAAATTTTTAACACAAAATTAAGATTTCATTAAAAAATATTAAAAACTATAATAGTATATCAATGGTTCTGAAAGATTTTTATTATATTATATTATATTATATTATATACACAATTTATTGTAATCTGCTAATTATAATGTTGAATTAAAGATTGATATTATTATTAAATATTAATAAGGTTGTTATATTACATTATGAATTTATTACAGTCTGCTGATTACAGTATTAGAGTCATCATCAGACTGTTCTGTCAGTCCAGACTATTACTGACATTGCTCAGCAAGCCAGTGTTGAGTCATTTAAATAAAGTTTTTCTTGTGAACTCTGACCTGTGAGTGTGGAGGTCGGGTCAGGCAGGGCGACCACCATGTTGGGTGTAGGGAGACGGTGGTTCAGTGGCAGATACTCTGGGTTAATGGCCTGTTTGACTGAATGATGGAGGAGCTGTTGCAGAAGCTCAGCAGAACTAGAGTTCGGATTCAAATTTAGGAGCACCGCCGCTATACCTGAAAATACACAGCTGTTAGGACAGACTGATAAAACAAAATGTCATAGTTTTGGCATGTTTTGGTGCTAACCAGCAACATGTGCCGCTGCCTGTGATGTTCCACTCTTGGTGGTGAAGCAGGTGGAGCAATCGCTGGACGCGCTGATGATGTCATCACCGGGTGCGAACACATCCACGCAGCGGCCCGCGTTGGTGCCTGTCGTCCCAGTGCTCAAGGGCTGGTCAGCAAAATTAACGGCCCCTACTGTTATCACCTGCAGCAGAGGACCAAATCATGTCAAAACCGAATATATTGACAAGCAATTGCTTTTCTGAAGAATTGAATCCATTGTACCTCAGGCTCTGAGGCTGGTGAGTACAGACAAGCATCATCGTTGTAGTTACCAGCTGCAGCAACAAGCACTGCGCCAGATTCCACCATTTTCCTGCAGGCAGCGTTGAGGGTGCGACTGAATCCCCCTACAAATGGCAGCAGTAGGATCACAGGTCTGATAGCCTGAGACATCAGAGACGACTGAATATACTCCAGACCTGCAACAGAGTTGGGTCAATTAATGCAAATTCTGCAAAGATCTACTTTATCAAAATACATCTAAATAGAAATTACTTATTAATTTAGAAAAATGATTTATATATAGGTTAATACAACTTGTATGTGTATTTAATAGTTATATACAATTATTATTTATGTTTTGGTTTACCTGCCAAAGCTCCTGACACAGTACCCTTGCCTTGGCAGTTTAACACTCGGACGCTGTTTACACTGGCACCTCGAGCTACACCCGAGTCCCGTCCACTGACCACACCTGCTATGTGCGTGCCATGACTGTCACACTGACTAGCCTGTGGGCAGACGAACGCAGGAATTGATGGACATACTTCTTCTTATTAGCTATTAAAACTATCCAGTTGTCATAAAATGCATGTTATTACATTCAACTACCTGTCTGTGAACTCTGACCCCATCCTCCTCCGGCACACTGTTGAAGTCCGTCACCATCACCCTGTCCTCAATCTCGCGATGAGTCACCTGAACGCTTGTGTCCAAAAGATACACTCCCACCTTTGCTCCGTCATCTACATACACACAAACATTACAGCTCTGTAGATTTAATACTTTATTACCATAAATTACCATAGATTTAATACATTTATTACCATACCAGCTGGTTTGGTTCAGCTACAAAATCAGACATCAGAAGACTACAGAGAACGGTTCGGACTGCTGAAAGGATTATTGGTGCCCCCCTGCCTACCCTCCAAGAACTGTATACATCCAGAGTGAGGAAAAGGGCTCAGAAAATCACTCTGGATCCATCACATCCAAGCCATCTCCTTTTTGAACTTTTGTCATTTGGTCGGCGTTACAGAGCACCGAATACCAGGACAGCCAGGCACAGTTTCTTTCCCCAGGCAATCTACCTCATGAACAGTTAATGTTCTCCCATTGTGCAATTATAGTACAGTATGTGCAATAACCTTATACTTATTTATCACCCTAAATCCTAGTACATCCCTACAACTTTATTTTATTTTATTCTATTCCTATTCTATCTATAAGCACACCTGTACATACAATGTATTCTTTTTTTGTGGTTTATATCTATGCATGTGTATTTTATTCACATCTTATTTTTATTATCTGTGTGTTGTTGTTGTCTCCGTGTACTGGAAGCTTGTGACACTATAACAAATTCCTTGTATGTGCAAACTATTCTGATTCTGATAAAAAATAATAGGAAAAGGGTTCACTTCAGGATCTCAGAACATATTTTTAGAAGTAACAAAGTGTTTGGGAAAGAGGGGGAAACGTCAGCTCACTTGGTGGTGAGTATTTTCCAGTCTCATGTTTGTTTTGAAGGATGCGCTGCAGGTTCCATGGGATGCTCTGGGCGAAGATGGAGGAATCCTCTTCAATGTATTCCACATGGGGCAGCTTTACTGCCTGCCAAAAACAAAGGCAATCGAATGAAGAAGACAGGCAATGTGTATTTTTAAGAATTATTGTAATTCCAGTACTTGTTTTCAAGTTTTTTTTTTCAGTCCATCAGACTGAACAAACATTCTTAAATATAAAATATGAAATTGTGAGCATTATGTAATAATGTTTGCAAATTACCATGTGAAGAACATCGCTGCTCATTTTCACCAGAAACCCGTGGAAAGCTCCTGAATAAGTCTGCTGTATTTCGATCAGATATCCGCGTTTGGCGGCTTTTGCGCGGAGTCTGCGCGCGGTGCGCTCCACCTGGTTCACGTGCGTTCCGTTCCGCATCACCACTATATACTGACCCGGCATGAGCCACGTGTCCTGTGTGTAAAACACGACGTATGCCATTTGATTCACACTGATTTTGATAACCTCCTCGTTCCAAACGTCCCACACGTACAGAGCGTTTATTTTAGACTTCCTCGGCATATGGCAATACTGACACCAGATGCATGTTTTTATTTTCGTTTAAACATCTTAATTTTTTTTTTATATTACTGTTTATATATAAGTTTATATATATAAACATGTTAACAAAACTAATTATAACAGGACTAACAATAACAATATGTGCCTGATGCTCTACGGGAAAAAAAACTTACGACTTGTTTATTAGTATCACTTAGCAAATTACTAATTATACATGCATTATTAACTAATTATATATTTTTTATATTTCATTTGATACACCTGACCTAATGATTAAACAATCTGCATGCTGTAGACGTAGTAAATGCACTTTGCTTGATTAACAGAAAACAAACCTTTCATATCAGAATAGTTTCTTTTAATTTCATAAATTGTTCATGCGATTAATTCCAAACGAACACATTTAACTCAGCAAAATGAGGACGTGCCGTCCACTGAACACCCCAGACACAGAAATGCAGCGATTTTTCCTATGCATTTCTATTTTCCCCCCTATTTTCCCCCCTATTCACCTATTTAAAGAAATTAAATTTCTTTTAATTTCATAAGTTGTTCATGCGATTAATTCCAAACGAACACATTTAACTCAGCAAAATGAGGACGTGCCGTCCACTGAACACCCCAGACACAGAAATGCAGCGATTTTTCCTATGCATTTCTATTTTCCCCCCTATTTTCCCCCCTATTCACCTATTTAAAGAAATTAAATTTCTTTTAATTTCATAAGTTGTTCATGCGATTAATTCCAAACGAACACATTTAACTCAGCAAAATGAGGACGTGCCGTCCACTGAACACCCCAGACACAGAAATGCAGCGATTTTTCCTATGCATTTCTATTTTCCCCCCTATTTTCCCCCCTATTCACCTATTTAAAGAAATTAAATTTCTTTTAATTTCATAAGCCCAAACACACACACAATGTATTTTCCTTAACGAAGCATTTTTGTTAATATTTTTTAAGTTAATATCAGGTAATATTACCAGTCCCACAATTAGTTCATTTAGCAGGTGATCTTACCTTAGTGCACCTGTAAAACTGGGCGGATGGCCTGCTCTCTGCTTCAGGCTGGGTGTCATCCTGCAGAATTAAAGACAGGATCATCTCTTCATCCTCAGTGTAGTCTTCATCACTCTCAACTACAGCCACAAGACCCAGCAGAAAACTCAGACAGCACACCGTCACGAAGCTTTTCATTCTGTGGACCGTAAACTAAGCAATATGAAATAAGTAGTTTTAGGTGATATTGCTAAGAATTCCCTTTTTTGCACCGTTGTTCGTCATATAATAAGGCAGGCGTATGAAGCAGAGAGATTTGGAGCTGAAGTGTATCCTCATGTCATTTAACCTGTCATTTGAATCTCTGACTGACTGAAGCAGAGGTGGGGCGTGCTGACGTTTCACTGTCCTTGTATCGGATGATGTCTCGTTAATAAATACAGCAGAAGAGGAGTCAGATTACAGTCCGCCCACACACATTGTATGCGTTTACTATTCCTGCACAGACATGTAACATTTGCCAAAATGAAACCTGTAAAATGAAAGTGTCAATTAGTTAGAGGCTAAATATGTATTGTGAAATACAGGGGGGGAAACAATTAATAGCTACTAAACAATTAAATGTAAATAGATTTGTAGTACAATTGTATGTATTCATTTATTTGTTCAAACAAAACAAAAGGAAGATGCATGCCTTTATACTGTTTTTACACTGAAATTTAGCTCACGTCACCTGCTGCTGGAGTCACTTTGACCAAAAACAGATTCACGTCGTCCTCTGTTGGCCAAATAGTGGTATTGTTGAGCAGCTAAAAGAGTCGCAGTCGAATTAAACCTGCAAAACACATTACAATCTATATATATGGTCAAAGCAGTAGGCTGTTTTTGTATCTGGCAGTGTCAAGTGAAGTAAAAAACGCATTTTGTGGGGAAAAGATTACATTTGCCCATAATATAATGGTAGCGTTACAATAATTATTACATAACTTTTTTTCAGTTATGTAACCTGTTTTATTATTCAAGAATGATTGAGATTGGAGTGAAAAATGCAAGAATCAAGGGCTGTCAAAAGTACAGGTAAACCTTTACTGAAGCAGCGATGACGTAATCCCTTATTCGGTGTCAAATGACGTGCTACACCTGTTTGTAAATTATCTGATTATGCAAATCACACGCCATAATGCTTGATTAATGTGTGTGTGTGTGTGTGTGTGTGTGTGTGTGTGTGTGTGTGTGTCAGGTTTTGCATACTGTAGGAATCAAATTGCCCCAGAAGAGAAGAGAAAATCTTTATTCATTTATTCAGCCTATGTTGTTCAAAAACTGTAAGATTTTTTCTGTGGATCATATAAACATGAGGTAGGTAGGTATTTATTTATTTAGAGTGACCTGCCCCATTCATAAAATATGCCTGTATGAGCATGTAAAAATACAAAAAGTTTGGTGAGGTTCATATTTAGGGTTAGAGGATAGAAAATACCAATAGCTCAGTACAACAGCAGAAGTCAATGGATATGGCATTTAATTTGTGCCAAAAATCTAGCAACCACATATCTCTGTCTACTGTTGTCTTCCCTGTCATGTGTTCAGCATTTTATGCTTAATGAGTTACTGCTCTCAGTAAATGTTCTGCAGACCATTTTGGAGATATCCAGGTACACTCTTAATAATAAAGGTGCTTAACCCTCATCCGTCCCTCGGGTCATTTTGAGCCAAAACTCATTTTTAAAGATTTTTTTTCAAAATCAAGCGTTGATCTTTATGGTATGAGACTTTGTTACATTTGTCACACTTGAACCGGGAATACATGACAAAAAATTAGAGTGAATTCGAGCAGTTTAAGTGGGTGCTATAAAAAAAGTATCAAAAGTGTCCCTCGCGGGTCATTTTGACCCACCACTGGAAAAGCATGGAATTTACAAAAAAAACTGCAGATTTTTTTTTATTTAATTTTGTCACACTTGAGCATGGAGCACAAAGCACACAAAAAAATTGAGCCGATTCGAGGATTCTATGTGGGTGTAATAAAAAAAGTATTACACACACCAGTATTACATTCATTTTGACCCGGCCATAGGAATGAATGGAATGTCCAAAAAAACCCCCAGCATTTTTTCATTTATTAGATTTTTTTGACTATGCAAAATCTGACACAATCCAGAATGTCCTCAATGCACAAAAAACTCACATATCCACACACACAGGCACACACACTCCCATTGAAACACATTATAGCTTGTATGATGTTTCTGCTGGGAAATTACTGTCATTTTTAATTTTTTTTTTTACTTACAGTTAAATTTGGGGTTAAATTTTTGAGTGATGGGGTGGAGATCAGTGAGTTTATATCATATTTATATTTTTAAATGTATCTTTATTTATTACATATTTATGAAACTGTATGAATATGCATGTGTTTGGATTAAAATTGAGTATAAATTTCTTTTTCTTTTTTTTTTACCAAATATAGTTTGTTAAATGTTTTGATATATATCTGAAAGCCTTGAGATATATCTGAAAGCTTAATGAAGCCTCGAGTTGGTGTAGTTTTAAACATTTCACTTGTTTGGCTCATTTAAGAATCTCCATAGGGTTCTATAGGCTCCTCTATTGGCTGTAAACATAAAATGCAATTTTATGTAATTTTTCCCCACCAGATAGCATTAGAGACACTCAGTGACCTAGGTCCTGATGGATGATCATGTTTAAAGTATAAATATGCAGAAATTGTGTCTTTCTTTTTGTTTTTTGGTGAAAAAATGTATAAAATATGCAAATTTTCATAAAAATATCCAGAATTGAATGTGAATAAAATACAAATCACCAAAAAATACAAAATAAAAACCTACATAAAAAAATGTGGGGAAAAAAATGGACCAATATAAGCTTTCTGGACCAAAAATAAAATTAGTGTCATTTTTGGCCTTCAGGTCATTTTGACCCGCGAGGGACACTTTTGTTATAGGTTCGGGAGGGACGGATGAGGGTTTTAAAAGGTTCTTCACAGCAATGCCATAGAAGAACCATTTTTGGTTCCACAAAGAACCATTCAGTCAAAGGTTCTTAACTTTTTAAAATCTGAAGAACACAAAGAAACTTTTGTGAAACAGTAAGGTGCTTCAGATGTTAAAGATTCTTTATGGAGCCATTTAGACAAAAAGGTTCTTCTATGGCATCGTGAAGCACCGTTATTTTTAAGTGTAAACAAACAGAACATGTACATTTGTTCAATAACAAGTTTTCTACAATTCTAGATGCATTTATATTTCTGTTCTATAAACTTGAGCGAATCTACAGTACAGTCTACAGTTCTTTTGTCTTCATGCGTTGTCATAATTTGTCAGAGTGTTAGAAAGATTGTAAAAGCTCTTTAGTGACAAAGTATCAAAACATTCTATTTGTTTACCTGAATAACTCTAAAATGCACTACAGATTGTTCACTGACAGCAGTAACTTACTGTATAAAGCATAAAACAGAGCTGAGTGCAAGACAGGGAGGACGACACAAGTAGATAACGCAAATGAAACAACAGCAAAGACGTAAACGAATGTATTGTACAAAGCAGTCTACACTTTTTTCGCACAAATTGGGTCAGCATAATTATTGGAAACAGCCTTCCATAAATGTCAGAACTAGCTTGGCAAGGAGGATGACATAAGCCAACATAAATTAGTAGATGATGAGTATGTTCTTTGTTCATCTTAACACGTAGGCAATGTAGACATGGACAAATGTATAGCACAAAGCAGTTGACTCCTTTTGGGCACAAATGTGACCCTGGACCACAAAACCTTAGGTATATTTTTAGCAATAGCCAAAAAAAAAACATGGTATGGGGTCAAAATTATCGATTTTTCTTTTATGCCAAAAATCATTAGGATATTAAGTAAAGATCATGTTCCATGAAGATATTTTGTAAATTTCTTACCATAAATACATAAAAACGTAATTTTTGATTGGTAATATGCATGGCTAAGAACTTCATTTGGACAACTTTAAAGGCAATTTTCTCAGTATTTAGATTTTTTTGCCCCCTCAGATTCCAGATTTTCAAATAGTTGTATCTCGGCCAAATATTGTCCTATCCTAACAAACCATACATAAATGGGAAGCTTATTTATTCAGCTTTCAGATGATGTATAAATCCCACCCTTATGACTGGTTTTGTGGTCCAGGGTCACAAATGGATCCTCATAAATGGAAAGTCCCCACCCTGACAGAAAAACAAACCAGTGTGAGTACTTGTACATAATTTGTGGCCAAGATTCACAGTATTGCAGCATGCATTTTTTACATGACTAAAAATATCTAGAACTGGCTCAACAATGAATCACTTTTACACATTAAAGTAATAGCATTTTTCAAATAATTAATTTAAATAATCTAAAAACATACAAACTATAATTATAATTATTGTGCTGTCTCAAATGTAAAGGAAGGAGCACCACAAACTAATATAAAAACTTCACACCAGGCAGTTCCTCTTTCAGTGTCCTCTGGTCTGCATGGTGACATGAGTCACGGTCACAAGTATTTCATCACCTAATGCTTAAACTTTTTCCAGCTTTATTTCCCTGAAAGTTGAACAATTCTGTTATCATATGCTATTGACAAAGTCATGGCCAAACCTTGTGACATTCACACACTTATCAGCCTAATGTAAAAAAGTGCACATAAATTACATGTTTTGTTATTGTACAAGTTATTTAAAATATGTATGACTACATAGGTGTCAAATCTTTTATGTCAGATGTAGATGGTGATTTGGACATTAGGATCAGCAGTAGCTATTCACTCTCCAGCTCAGATGTGAGAGTCCTCCACTTTCCCCTAGTGCATCTCTCTGCTGGGGTCTGGTCGTGGAGTTCTTCTGTCCATCAGTGGAGAGCTGGAGCAGGCCAGAACACTGGGGGAACTTCGACATGTGTGGAGGACGATGACACGCTCACCGGGTTTGTTCTCTGTGTGGCGTTTTGGATCTGCCGATATTTCTACTTCATCATCACAGAAGCCAGCCAAGGGAGCTCTTATTGGTTTCGTTGGACTGTGACAGGAAATAAAAGTGAGATTTATACTACAGTATTTCAATGTCTATATACAGGGGCGGATCTACCGGGGTGGCACGCTAAGAAAAAGCTGTGCCACCCCAGAATTATCACAGAATAAAATATAAATGTAAGCAGTGTTTCATGTGTTACTTTTCAGCCGCGGCGATGACAGAGTAACGCAAAATAATGGCAAAAAAATAACACGTCTTTCAATAAACTATGCAGGAAGGTTGCACGCAGCGTGCCAGTGTAGTCGGCTTCATTAACAAATGACTTATGAACCGGTTCAAAGAC